AAGTCTCATCCTTTTTCTGTGACTGTTCCTAAGTGCTTCAAAAACTCTTATTCTTCTAGTTTTTTTCCTCGAACATCAGTTCTTTGGAATTCGCTTCCTTCATCTTGCTTTCCTGATTCATATAATTTGCAATCTTTTAAGTCATCAGTCAATCGTTATCTTGCTCTACAGATTTAGTCTTTTCTCTTCCAGTAACTTCCAACTCTTATAGTGGTTGCTTGCAGCCTTGTTGGAAGTGAAGATGTTAAAAAAAAAAAAAAAAAAAAAAAAAAAAAAATATATATATATATATATATATATATATATATATATATATATATATATATATATATATATATATATATAAAACCACACTTACACACTCAAAAAATGTCAAGTGCTTCATTTAAATTCAACATGATTAATGAATAATTACGCATAATCACATTATATATAAAGAAGCAGAAAATAAAATAGTTACCTGAAGCTGATTGATTGTACATGGTTTGAGATTGAACTAAACATATTGTGTGTGTTTATATATATATATATATATATATATATATATATATATATATATGTATATATATATATATATATATATATATATATATATATATATATATATATATATATATATCTATATATATATTTATATATATATATTATATATATATATATATATATATATATATATATATATATATATATATGTATGTATATATATGTATATATACCCAGACAGCCTCCCGCTAGCGGCCCAATGCTGGCCCAGTTCCGCTTGCGACTACGGCGCGATGACGGCCGTTGATCACGGGCCTGCATCAAAACAGCCATTGGGCCAGCACTGGCCCGCTAGCCATGGGCCAGTATTGGCCCGCAATCGTTCGCCAGCACTGGCCTGCGATTATTTGCCAGCACTGGCCCGCTATCGCTTGCCAGCATCTGTTGACAGTACTGATCCGTGATCATTTTCCAACAATCTTTCGTGTTTGCGTGTCAGCTCTAAAGCGTTACTTTTTACTAGATACTTTTACTACATACACTAGCACGTTATTATTAGCCGTTTCCGTGAAAATGTGTTATTCCATAAAATTCAAACAAATAAGTATATTTGAAATTTATTGTAAACCAAAAGTGTTTTAATTAATAATGAAATAATAAAAACAAAAACGTTGAATGAATCAAATATTTATTTTTGCAACGAATTTTTAAGATCTTCCCGAGCTTTACGGCCGCCATTTCGATCACCGGAAAGTTGAAAGTATCTTTTTACCCAACGTTCAACCTCTTCAGACACTGCTCCTGAAGTCGAAGGATTTATTTTAACAGCATCTAAACAGTGTGACTACATTGTATATATGGAATATATTTATGTATACATTAGTAAATAATTAAACATATATATATACATATATATATATATATATATATATATATATATATATATATATATATATATATATATATATATACATATATATATATACATATATATATATATATATATATATATATATATATATATATATATATATATATAAATAGTTGATATATATATATATATATAAATATAAATGTATATATATATATATATATATATATATATATATATATATATATATATATATATATATATATATATATATATATATATATATATATATATATATATATATATATATATATATATTACTATACATATAAACATATTTGTGTAAATTATCGTGATTCAAAAACGACTTTTTTTTAAATAGTCCACTGTTCAACCTAATATGTGTTCTCTATAATAAAATTTTATTATAGAGAACACATTTAAGGTTGAACAGTGGACTATTTAAAAAAAAGTCGCTTTTGAATCACGATAATTTATGGCATTAATAACGCTAAATTTGAAGTTTTTTAAACAAAAAAAATTTTTAGGGGTTGCAAAAGTACCGAGTTCCTAATATTATTGGGAAAAAAATCAAAATGTCAGCCCAGTACTCAAAAGATGCACAACTAAATGTTAAAAATAATTATAATCAACACAAGATAAAATAAATATATAATAAAACATAAGATTTAAAAATAATTAACATTTACTTTATCTTGTAAGTTAAAAAAAAACATTTTTTTTTTAACTTTATGTGCAGTAAATTTTGAAAAAATAATTTGCATATAGAATGATTAATATTTGTTTTCCAGCACCAAAATTTTAAAATTTTGTTTTTTATTATATAAAATACATTTACGTTTGAGGAACGGACTATATAAAAAAAAGTTGTTTTTTGAATCAGCATAATATATATATTTATACAAATGTTATACATAGAATGAAATTTCTTCTTACCCAATAAAACTTTTTTTAAAGGCATTGTTTTCAAAGCAAGCTTATTGTTAGCTCCTGATTAATTTATTTTTTTTTCTATATTGGTGCCAATCACCATTGGAATTAAATTCCAAACAGTCCTCTTAATTGTTGAGCCACCATGGGATGCCAATTTCATGCTCTAAAATTTACATACACATTATACATGATAACCATCTTTGTCTTTCATCAACAATTTTATTTAACTTTGTAAAATACTTATTTAATACTAAACTGTAAATTCAAAATAAAAATACTTTTAAAATGTTTTGTATAAAGTAATAAAAAAACAACGAATAAATGTATGGCTCACACTTACCAGTGCATTCATAACTTTCTTATCTGATTCGATGTTTTCGTTTAATTTGAGTAAGCTTGACTCATCATTTACTGGAATTTCGAAAGGTTCATCAACCAAAATTGCTTCCCTGTTTTGTTTAAGCATTCCAATAAGTTGACTTATTAAGGCATTATTTGTATCTAACTTTTTGTTCAGGTTCTCTACTGAAATAAGAAGCTCTTTTTCAACTGCTGTAAAAATATTTAATATTAGGCTACACCATCTCAACGATTATGAAAAATTTTAAAACTATATAAAATAATAAAATCTTAATCAAACGGAATTAAGCGCTACAGATCAAATCTAAAGGAATTGTTGCCGCAATGCATTTTTCAAGTGAAAGTAAAACTAAAAAACTTGATATATTTTTTAGTTTTACATAATTTGAAGAAAGTTAAATATTTGCGTAAGTTAGATAATAGCATACACTATCGGTGACTTTTCTTATATAAAAAAGTGCTACTACTCTTTCTCGCTATTACCTCGGTTGCAATCGCTGCCAAGAGTATCGTGTCAAACACTCTCCAATGAGCATTGACATCGCTATTATATAATGTGATAAAATATAAATCTTAAAATTTATAAAAAAAAACAAACAAAATGAGCATTATAAAAATAACTCTCAGTATCTCAATTATATGCATACGACTAACCAGTGCAATGAAGTGTTCCTTCGCTCACTTCGGCGAGAATCCGTCTCACAGTTGAACATCCACTTGATGTCAACGAAGATCCTAAAAACTAGAATTAAAAAAAAATAATTAATTGAACAGTTTAATTCAATTTACTAATAGGTTCTTTTCTTTTTTTTTTGTAATTCACCTCCCCAAGGCCGAGAAGGCCACTACAGAGAAGGAGACTATGGTTATAACCCTCTCTTAACTCTATAACTCTGAAACACGAACCTTGACAAACAAGGCCGCTGCGCGGAGAAACAAGTTAAGCGCAGTACTACCAGGACGCGGTGGGAATCGAACTTAAATGCATATATGTAAATATATATATATATATATATATATATATATATATATATATATATATATATATATAATATATATATATATATATATATATACATACATAGTCAATATACTAATGAATATCGCAAATTACCACAGAATTGGGTGCAGACAACGGATTGCTTTCGCATAAAGTACTTTTATCAACTACACTTGGTAAATTTGGATGCATGTTTGTGTCCTATTTACAAAAGCCAACTATAAGATTACTTGAGAACATTATGGAATTCAGTTACATTTTAATTGAAAAATATTTAAATGAAAATAGTATTAAAAGTACCTTCTCTTCTAACACTTCCAAAACAGAACCTTGCCTTTTATTTGACTTTAAATGATCTGAAAGAGTTAAATTTTCAGTACTAAATAAAGTTAAAGGATGAATTGGAGGAGCTGGAGCAAGTGTCTTTTTTTTTTTATTTATAACTTTCTTTTGTTTTTTTAATAACTGTTGAGTGTCACTTTCTGAACTTGAATAGTCAAAGTTATGATACGATACATCTCTGTAAAATAATGAAAGAAAATCAACATCATGATATGATGATCATCATCTAAATTACATATAATCACATAATGATCATCATGAGAAAGACCATCACCTGGTAGGGCGAAGACTCTTCTGAATTCTATTTTTTTCTGAATTAATTGAATCTTCACCCTCGTTATTTGAGAAAAAATCTGATGAAACTTCTGCCATAGGTAGTTTTTCTCTCGCTTTTTCATATGATACTAAAAAAAATTGGGGTTTAAAAATCAAAATAGTGAAAAATTGTTTCAAAAAGAAAAACAATTTAAAAAAACATAAACTTTTAAAAATTTTTGTGAAATTACTAACCAGAGTTATACATGATACTTATGTCATATTCAGTCCAATCATCTCCAGGAACTTCACATTTTTTAATGGCTCTGTTAAGGCGTTCGGTCTTATATGAGCAGGGCCATAGACAAATACCATTTGTTACCCATTTAGCGGGAACAACAGCCACTGAATCTTTTTCATCAATAAATTTAACAATATGATACAATTTATCCATTGTTCTTTTAGAAGAAAATTATAGACTAAATATGGTAGTATTATTGACATATTATAGTTAGTAATTAAGTGTTGGTTGATAATTAAAAATAACTTAAATTTGAGAAATTTAAAAATAGAGAACAGCAAAAAATACAAAAAGCAATTAAAAAATAAAAAGGAAATAAAATTTGAAAACAAATACAAAATACACATCACGTAACATTTAAATTATTAACTATCAAACGTATCATTATAAACAATATTAATATAATATTGTTATTATTAGAAAATAGACACTTA